AATGAAAACTCGGACGAGCTAGTGATAACCAGAAAATAGGAGAATGAATAATGTTGCCATCAACTAACCGCATTTACATACCCGTGTTAAAAGACACTATCATAATGGTGTTCTATCATAAAATAACATTTGCACGGAATGCTAATTTTCCGATCCCCTCCATTACAACTCGACACCTCAAAATTACCCAAAATGGGTAACTTCTCCCCCCCCCCTTTGAGAACCATTGGTCTATAGTCTTATTGCAATTTCGGATGGCAAACATTGATGTCATATTAAATCTTTCTATAGAACAGAAGAATTGTATAGAACAGTCACATTAGATCTTTATATGGAACAAGAAGAAATATGCTTGAAAAGAATTCGAGAATGAATTATCGGATGAACTTTGAACTCACAAAGCATCCACGAAAAGTTGTTGAGTTTCATTTACAGAACCTATGCCCTATTAATCATTTATGGTCCTAAACAACTATCAAGAGATTAAATTCATTTTCAGCCCCTTTCTCCTAGCTGAACTGCCCTTTGACTGATCCATTTAAGAGCAATGGCATGACAAAGAACACCAAAAGTATGGCCAACCTTTTGGACAACAATAATTAGGTACGCCTTTATCACCGATATGGCAGAAGTATGTTGATGGACATCTCGAATCTGGACTGCATATTTTTGGTGTATTGCCGTCGATTAGGGGTTCTCCGAATCCACATGGATTCTCATACGACGACGGACAGCTGTTACGACAATCATCCAACGTTAGAAACATGTTCTATAACCGTTGCACTAATGAATGGTTGTATAGAGTAATATATCCTAATCATTAGCTTCTATCACGAATAGAACGCAATACTTATTTTTGAAGGTAACAAGCATTTTCGAGATTGATTATACAGCAGTTTGTTTCGTTCATTTTTGAACATTTCGAGTGTGTTCTGGTGAATAAATTTTCAATGTTACCACCACTGAAAGTCAGTGCAAACCCAAAATTGTCATCAATAAATGTCATCGCAAAGGCAGTGCTCGAAATAAATGCCGCAAAGTTTTTTCATCCTTAACGGGATTTCGTCATCGGATCGATTGACAAACGTGTGGAAGAAGAACTATTCAATCTTGCAGTTCCTCATTACGCGTGAAACTAATAACCTGATTTCCTCCCGCACCACGATAGATGAACGAAACGCATTGATTTTCTTGCTTGCTGAAGTGCCACCTTGTCAAGTGATACTTCCCAGTTCCTTGCAGTAAATTTTGATCGCAAACATCATCAGCTGAAAACGTGGATGATCTGCATTCATTTCCTCAACTGGTTTTGTAGCCTATCGGCAGTAACAATTACACAATGATAAATTCGGTTCCAATGTCGGGATGAGATTTCTGAATGTTGTTGTTTTCTGAAGATAAAAACGTTGAGGAACAGCCAACTTCCTGAGCAGCATACAGTCGACTCTTCGTCACCACCAACATGACACCAGTATTGGTCAGGACAAAGCGATGATGGCCCACAATGTGTGGGTTTTCCGGAGCCATCCAGAAGCATCGATCCATTATTGCCGCATACATTTGTACATTGCGCTGAATACTATGACTATTATACGGAACAAAAACNATCATGAATCAAATTCTACGATTGCCAACTCAAGTAAAATCGATGTCAAAATTATGCTGCCATTTTTTTATTCGATGCTGATGAGGAACATTGTTCATTAAGATCACAGATTTTGAAGATGTGAGTGTTTGACAAGAAGTGATTCATTTCTGGCGATTCGCCGAATTGCTTAGAAAATTTTCACTGCGCTCCGGAACTGGCATTTTCACCTGCTTTTTTGCGTTGAAGAACATATATACTACTCAAGTCAACAACGAAAAGAGTAAAAAGAAATGAACTAACGTTTGCATTGTTCTTCACACTGTGATTTACTGATGAAATTATTTTGGTTTCCTTTAGAGCCTCTGTAGATAAATGATTTGCATTGTCGATTGCACGATCTATCGAGTGCGTCAACATACCATCGAATCAACCTTTCATCACCCTCACCGGATTCCATTGGCAGTGAGCATGGATCAGATACAGCTGAATCGGGCAACATCAAATTCTTTCAAGATGCTCATTCCACATTAGAGGGTACTTCAATGATTATACATGTTTTGGCAAGTGTAAATGTAATTCTTATAGACTTTCGATCGCAACTGACAACATAGCCGGGTTACCGTGGACAAAGTGGCTTAAAATTTCGACTATACCATTGAATGCAGTAATATGAAAGTATTTCACTAATCGGGACCCAATTGTGAGATAGAACGTTTAGGTTTCCATTTATAATTGAATCGTTCGTTTGACGAACTTAGAAACCGAAGAGTTAATTCGATGTAAATGAACGAGGTGTGAGGACGGCTGTTCCCCACGTGGAGATCAATCTCATCCAGTGCAACATATGAAGTTCATAATCAAATACAACAATGCTCAATTATAAAAAATAGTTGAGACTTCATGACGGAAAACGGTTGTTAAACATTTGCATATGGTCAATACCTGCACCGCAGCATATCGTCCTCTCTGAAGACGAGCCAATGTGACACCACTGCCCATCAGCACAGTCTGAATGTTTATTGCACTCCTGTCCCCTATTACCTCCAACCGGTACTGCACAAACATCGTTTGGCTCTATAAATTGAAATCTTACAAATGCATTTGAAATCCT